GAATCACTTGAACCCATGAGGCAGAAGTTGTAGTAAGCCGAGATTGTGCCACTGCACTCCAGTCTGGGTGACAGAGTAAGACTCTATCTCAAAAACAAAATCAAGGCCAGGCATAGTAATCCCACGCACGCCTGTAATCCCAGTACTTTGGGAGGCCGAGGTGGGTGGATCACCTGAGGTCAGGAATTTGAGACCAGCCTGGCCACCATGGTGAAACCCTGTCTCTACTAAAAATACAAAAATTGGCCAGACGAGGTGGCTCACACCTATAATCCCAGCATTTTGGGAGGCTGAAGTGGGCGGATCATTTGAGGTCAGGAGTTCAAGACCAGCTTGTCCTACATAGTGTAACCCTGTCTCTACTAAAATACAAAAATTAGCCAGGCGTGGTGGGGGCCACCTGTAATCCCAGCTACTCAGGAGGCTGAGGCAGGAGAATCGCTTGAACTCAGGAGGCAGAGGTTGCAGTGAACTGAGATCATGCCACTGTACTCCAGCCTGGGCGACAGAGTGAGACTCTATCTCAAAACAAACCAACAAAAATTGCCGGGCGTGGTGGTGCGTGCCTGTAGTCCCAACTACTCGGGAGACTGAGGCAGGAGAATCACTTGAACCTAGGAGATGAAGGTTGCAGTGAGACGAGATTGTGCCACTGCACTCCAACCTGGGCAACAGAGTAAGACTCTGTCTCAAAAAAAAAAAAAAAAAAAAAATGTAGCTTCTGCTTCAGAATTTGCTATCTCACAGCTCAGGGTGCTGCTGCTGCTGGTTTGGGCCACATCAGAGCAGTGCTGCTCAAGAAAGGCTAAGCTGATCTGTTCTCTTCCTGGCCAACAGAGACGCCTCTCCACCAAGTCATTCCTGACTTGGGCGCCCTCCCCTCCACTCCTCGTAAGTGGCAGGAAGGAGCCCTGGCTTCACGGTTTTGTAGCAGGATGGGCACTTAGTGCCTTTAGGCGCATCCACTCACCTCCTGCCTGCAGTGCCTACCTCAGCAACCACACAGAGACCAAACAAAGTCCTTGTTCATCGCTAGCCCTTAGTGGCCTTCGCGCTGGGCCAGGCGTTACTCTACCTATGAGGTATTCCCTGTTTACAGGGAAATGAGAAAACAAATGAGACACTGGCAATGAGGTCAGAAGTCATAAGTCACACGGCCAGGAAATAGGAGCGCCAGGTGTGACCCAGGTTGTCAACCTCCAGAGCTCACCTCTCAACCACAGTGGGATTCACTGAGACGACGCATGTGTACAAGTGCTTGGTAAACTGTAAAGTGCTGTGTGCTATGGCGAGGCATTATTCCAGTCCCTCTGCCTACCCCTGTTGACATCTGCTACTCCCTTCTTTATGAGGGTTTGGGGGGCTCTCCCACCTCCGCCAGGCACTGTACCTGCAATCATGGCCTCATAGACGGCCGTGGTGGCTGCGGCAAGGTAGGAGGGTGCTGAGGAGGGTGGCTGCATCTCGTTGAAAGTGTCGGCCCCATAGATGTGGTCTGTGCCAAACTCTTTGACCAGCTCTCGCAGGAAGAGGCTCCCGATGACGGGGAACATGGGGTCTTCCGGAGCCAGAAGGAAGGAGCAGGAGTAGGAACAGTTGAAGTGTCCCCAACTGCCCATCTTCGTGACATTGACCTGAGGGAACACCCTAGTGGGAAGCAAAAGCTCAGACATTTCATGGAAGCCACCATAGGGTACATCATGGCCCACAGCCCCTCAGCAGCCTCGCCAACTTCTCTACAACTCCCAGGGCACATCCCGGTTTCTCTCGCCCCTATGGCTTGTACAGGCTGTGCTCTCTGCCTAGAGTCGTTTCCTCTCCTTCCCTGGCCACCTTCGCTGAAAAACTTTCACTATCTGTCCCCTTCCTATGGCCAGAAACAAGCAACACTCCTCTTTCTTTCTTTCTTCCTTCCTTCCTTTCTCTCTCTCTCTCTTTTTTAATTACACTTTTAGTTTCAGGATACATGTGCAGAACATGCAGGTTTGTTGCATAGGTATACATGTGCCATGGTGGTTTGCTGCACCCATCAACCTGTCATCTGGGTTTTCAGCCCCGCATGCATTAAGTATTTGCCCTAATGCTAGCTCTCCCCTTGACCCCCACCCCCCGACAGGCCCCGGTGTGTGATGTTCCCCTCTGTGTCCATGTGTTCTCATTGTGCAACTCCCACTATGAGTAAGAACATGAGGCGTTTAATATTCTTTTTTTTTTTTTTTTGAGATAGAGTCTCACTCTGTCGCCCAGGCTAGAGTGAAGTGGCATGATCTTGGCTCACTATAATCTCCGCCCCTGGTTTCAAGAGATTCCCCTGCCTCAGCCTACCGAGTAGCTGGGATTACAGGAGCCCACCAGCACGCCTGGCTAATTTTTGTACTTTTAGTAGAGATGGGGTTTCGTCATGTTGGCCAGGCTGGTCTTGAACTCCTGACCTCAGGTGATCCACCCGCCTTAGCCTCCCAAAATGCTAGGATTATAGGCATGAGCCATGGCGTCTAAGCAACACTCGTTTTTCAACGCTGGGCTCTGCCCTGAGCCCTTCCTGCCCCTCTCTCCTGGCAGAGGAGAAGGGAACCCACATATATTCCTGTCCTTGTCACCACATTGTATCCTTCAGCCAACATATCTCCCCTATCAGGGGTAAGGCCTCGGGCATGTTTCTTGCCGCCTCCTAGGACCCAGCACAGAGCCAGGTCTGGCAGCTGCAGAGAGCTGGACCAAGTTTATTGAATGAATAGTTTCCTGCCACCTGGTGATGGGGGCAAAGAGGCAGGCAGGGAGGCCACGGGCATACATGAAGTCCTGTGAGAGTGTGGGAGCCAGACACTAGCAGGTGCAAAGGAGGACATGGGGGGGGGGCACTAGCAAGTCTTCCTGAAGGAGGGGAGGTCTCAGGTGGGCCTTGAAGACTTTCCCCAACCACATGTGAGAGGATGGCTGGGAAGCACAGAGGAGCAGGAGAGGAGGGACTGGAGCACCCCTGCAGCCACTCGTGAGGGCTGCCATTTGCTAGCACTCTGTGCAAAGTCACAGATAGATCAAGAGATAATTACAAACCCTACAGCCAAGTGGGTAGAGATTCCATTTTACAAGTAAGGAAACTGAGGCACAGAGCAGTCATGTCATCTGCCCGAAGTCACACAGGTAGTTAGTAGCAGAGTCAGAAAGCAAACACAGGCCTACATCCAGAGCTTAAGTTTGTTTGTTTGTTTGAGACAGAGTTTCGCTCTTGTTGCCCAGGCTGGAGTGCAATGGTGAGATTTTGATTCACTACAATGTCTGTCTCCCGGGTTTAAGCAATTCTCCTGCCTCAGCCTCCTGAGTAGATGGGATTATAGGCGCATGCCACCATGCCCAGCTAATTTTTATATTTTTAGTAGAGACGCGGTTTCACCACGTTGGTCAGGCTGGTCTCGAACTCCTGACCTCAGGTGATCTGCCCAATTCGGCCTCCCAAAGCGCTGGGATTACAGGGGTAAGCCACTGCGCCCAGCCCAAAGCTTAAGTTTTTAAGTCATGTTCTAGACGGGAATAAAATTCCCTCTCTGAGCTAAGTGGAGGAGGTGAGCGGCACCTTACCTGGTGACAGCCTCGGGAACATGCCCTGCGAATGCAGGTAGCACTGGGGTCATGCCAAAGGAGCGCATCCGGTCCAGGACCCGGTGCTGGAGGAACAGAAGGAAGGGTGGTGAGCATGGCCACTGCTGTCCTATGGGGAGGCCCTCATCTCCCAGGACACACGGAGCCCCCCCGCCTCAGTTAAGAGCCCCAGGGCCAGCCCAATACCACCCTTCCTGGGCCCGTGGCCATCTGTCACCGATTCTGCCCCTTCTCTTTTCCATCCTTTTACCTGCAGGTAAAGCTGCTTGATGTGCCAGGAGGGGGGCAGGGGGCCATCCCAGGTGTGCAGGTTGCCCATTCGCCCCCAGGCCAGGAAGGCAGGACCAGTAAAGAACTCATTGATCTCTGTCTGGGTCAGGCCCAAGGCCAGGTACACCTGAGGAGGAAGGGCCCACACATAGATATATATTCGTCTTCATTCATTCATTCATTCATTCATTCAACAACCATTCACTCATTGCTTCTTTGTGCTGGGCGCTAGGGCTACTGAGACAAAATCTGACCCCTGCTATCAGGGAGCCCACAGCCCAGAGGAAAGAGACCTGTGAATAGGTGAGTTCACTGGGACACCTTTGTCGCATGGGTGAGGAGATGGGGCACAAAGGGGCTTTCTCCCAAGAGGAAGGCCTTAGAAGGCTTCATGAGCAAGGGTGCCAGACAGAAGGGCAGGGCAGCTGTGTGAAGAGCTTAAACAGCACCTGGAGCAGCCGGTGCGGCACGGAGGTTTCCAGGGAGGCAGATCTAGAGCTGACCATGAGTTGGATCCAAGGGACCAGGTGATTGGCCGCATAGGGGAGATGGGGGAAGGAGCCCCACTCCTCAAACTGGAAGCCTCAGTTTTTTTTTTTTTTTTTTTTGACAGAGTCTCGCTCTGTTGCCCAGGCTGGAGTGCAGTGGCACGATCTCGGCTCACTGCGACCTCCACCTCCCGGGTAGCGAGTCCCCTGCCTCAGGCTCCCAAGTAGCTGGGACTACAGGTGTGTGCCACCACACCAGGCTAATTTTTTGTATTTTAGTAGAGACACGGTTTCACCATGTTGGCCAGGATGGTCTCGATCTCCTGACCTCGTGATCTGCCCGCCTCGGCCTCCCAAAGTGCTGAGGCGTGAGCCACCGCGCCCAGCCGGAAGCCTCAGTTTTCAGGAGGCCAGAGCCATTGTGCACGCTGAAAGCACTTCTAGAGAGAGACACTGTGCCCATACTGGGGGGCGGGTGAAAACACCTAGGGTGGCTCCCGCCATAGGCAGGAGGGTGGGGAGGGGACAGTGGGCACGCACCCTCTGCCAGATGGCCTCCTGGCCGCTCCAGGCCAGTGCCAGGTTGATGCCATTCAGCGCCATCCAGTCTATCTCTCGCTCCCAGCGGGCCCAGTCCCACCACACGAAGGAGTAGCTTTGCGTGCACACATTCTGGTAATAGCGGTACCTGCGGGCAGTGTCATGAGCGGGGGTGCATCCCACCCTGCAGGGTCCACAGCCCTGGAACAAATCCCCCAACCCCCACCTAGAGGAGAGGGGAGGGGCTCCAAACAATGCCCTTCTGCTTCACACTGGGACCCACCCCAGGTGGAGCTGTGGCCAGGTACCTGGGCTGGGCTTCTGAGGGACTCGCCCCCTGTACTCCCCCAGGGCCCTCTAGCCTGGCGGGTATTTGGGTGGCATATTCCACTTTCATGCCACCCTGCCAGAGCCCCTCCTCTGCACGGTGTTTTCCTGGAACGGGGAATCCCTGCCCCCACAGTCTGACAGATGGGCGGGGGACAGTTGTGTGGACACATCACTCCACAGTGTGGCAGGCGCTGGAACACAGGCCTGTGTGGGAGGATGGGGGCGTCCTTCCTCAGTCCGCAGGTTCAAAGAGAGGGTGGGGGAGGAACGGAAGAAAATTCATTCATCACCAATTGTGCACCACAAATTCTACGCCCATCATCGTGCAAATCCTCACAATAACACTGCACGGTAGGCGTCTTGTTTTCGTTTTTCAGGTGGGCCAGCTGAGGCTCTGAAAAGCAGAGTGGCTGGCTCAAGGCCACACAGCTGCTGGAGGCGGCGCAGCTGGGCCTTCCGGCCAGCGCTCCCCGCTCAGCCTCCCGATTTGGGTGGCAGCGGCTC